ACAAAACTAAACCTTTAGCTCAAGATATTATCAAAGATTGCGGTAAGAGTATATTTTGGTTTTTCTGTGTTATTTACTAATATGTTTTATTATAGATGAAATTATTGATAGATCAGTAACTACAGCTGTAGTTAGACCAGTTCGCAAAGTCAATTATTTACCTGCTGCAAATAACATACCAGTATCAGCTTCAGGTATCACATTTACTTATATAGTTTAAATTTATTTTTATTAATATCTATAGATGGTGAGCTCTTCTTCAATGCAGCACATCAGTCTATGTTTGATGAGATCAGAGGAAGTTTTGGTATACTTATTGATGAGATCATTCCATTGGTATCTCAATCGATTCCATCAGCTGCAAAAATGAAGTCATTCCTTCAACTGTCCTTTCCTGAATTGAGTGCTGAACTGTCTAATGCTGATAGTATTGAAGGCATTATGAATGTTGTAGTGAAGAAATGCCGCATCAATAATATCTCAAAATTAAAAACAATTGTAAAACGTTTTAAAATCACTGAAGCAAAATCTATTATATTAGAATATGAAGAAGAAGTGAAGACAGTCTGTGGATCATTAAAGGATTTCCTTAGTCAGAATCAACCCGAGCATTTTCTCATTTGTGAAACGATTCAGTTTACTTTGGGATGGGAACCAGAGGAGCACTCACTTGATGACATACGTAATCTCTTAGAGGAAGCATTTAAAGAATTAAACAAGAGGATTATTGTACGCAGCATTCATCGTGGGAACTCCATCATTATCATTTGTTATGCTCCACATCATTTACTAGCTACTCTTCTCTTGGAATCACAAAGCAACCTAATGATATTGATGAAAGATTTTCACTTAATTAGACTGACCATTGGTCACCACACTGTATGTGATAAAAGGATCAAGAACAAAGTACAAGATACTGAGACCTTGATTAATATTATGCATCAATCATAGGTGATGAATAGCTACATGTACAGTCTTGCAGAGAAGGTTAAAGTAACTAATGATGAAGCACAAGAATTAAAGGCTTTACTTGATAAAAAAGAAGGTAAACTTTTTTCAATTTTCAGTTGCAGAAATTAGTATATTGGTATAAGGATCAATTGATGAGCAAAGGAATTTAATTAAAAAAACAAAAGGTAATACCAGGAGATGCTGTAGTAATATCAACAAAATTGTGTCATGATTTATATAGAATTTGAATTAAAACTAAAGCTATATGGTAAAGCAAATAGATTATTCCAGTCAAAAATGTCAGATATAAAGATTCTACAATCAAAAAAAGTACAACTAGTTAATATTACAGTGGTCAACATCAAATTTATTTGAGAATATAGGAAAAAAGTGAAGCTTTAGAAGAAAACATGCTCTTCATAAACTATTTACAGGAACTTATTGACGTAAAAAAAATTTTGCTACAACCAATTAGTATGTGAGGATATCATTAACTATTAAATTTAATTGTTATATTATATAGGCGGTAGCCTATATGTAGGATTGAGGTTGATTTTTCAAGATGGCGGCCGTTTTTATGATTTTCAAACACTCATAACTCTTTTATCTTACGTTGTACAGTCTTATAAATGGCTTAGATCAGCTCTCCTTCACTGAGCGATTCTCCTGGTACCTTTAGAGTGGACTGTAATGTAGCGGGAGCATTTCTGGAGAATAGGCCAAAATTCAAATTTCTGCAAAATTCTTCAGACTTTTTCTTCTTTCATCTTTCTTCTATCAACACGGAAATCTTTTAAACCAGAGAGCCGCTCAAGTTGGCTTTTACATCATTCCTTTGAGCTTGGGTCAAGGACTAGACATGTGGCTTCAAAAAGAAGCAAGGACAGAGAACAATGGAAGACAAATTCCAGCTGCAGCACCGCGTGGGTTTGTGGTTTGACGCCATTTTAATTTATGCACACGTGATTAGCATGAATATGATTAACCTAACCACATAATCATAACATAAAGTAATTTTATTAATTTAAGAAAAAAGAATGGAAACAAGTAAATAAAAAACATTAAAAATGGAAAAGTAGTAGGATTGAATTGTAAAAAAGTAAAGAAACAAGAGGGTACTTGCAAAGTGGTGTGATAAAAAATCCTACACCACTGCATGAAGGACATGGCTTCATAGTTATCTTACATGTAGTAGCCTGTGTGGATAACTTACAATGCTTTTGGGTAATA